TTGTCAATTTTTCAGCTAAACCAGACGGTGGTTCAGTTTCTGCACCGGAACCGAACCCCAGCGACCCAGTTATCCCAACCGAGCCCACAAACCTTTCCAAAATGTCCTTTTTTTGTTGTTTATTGCGGCTGCTGCTGTCTGAAACGTCCCGGTTTGACTTCCCGGTTGAACCCGGAAGTGATGAAACCATCACCGTGTTAGAAAAGGATCTGCAGCGGCCGCCGTTCCACTTTTCCTCTCCTCCTGCTGGACTCCAGCGTGTTTCTGAATGAGCGTCGATTTGGATTCTGCAGGACTGTAGCATCTGAAACAGGCAGCTGGGGTTTCTTTGTTCTCCCCTTACAGAGCGTCACTAATGATTTAAACAAAAAAAAGAAACAAAAAAAAAAGTTTTGCTTTTTCAGATTATCGGGAAGCTCTCTGTGCATCTTACATCCCTGGTACTTAAATCAGAACAAATCTTTTATTTGAAATATCTTTTTTTTTTCCACCAAAAAAAGTTTATTTGTGTTTGAAGCGGAGAGGTTCTGAAAGCACTGTGATCTTCTCCGCCATCGTTTCTCCAACAGAGCAATCTTCTTTAACGAGGTGTTAAAAAAATCCTCTGGAAGCAAAGAGGGAAGCTGTAAATCAATCTGTTTACATTTTCCGGTTTAAACCAGAAAACATTTGGCTTCGTCTGAAGATTATTTTTTTTTTTAGGTTTCTAGAAACTGATTTTCAGGATTGAAGCAAAACCAAAAAAGGTGAATGTGTGTTGGAGACGAGGGCGGTGTGTGAGAGGAGCGTTTGTGGGCGTGGCTGAGAATCCCGACATGCAGATTCTGCCGAACCGCAACCGGAATCGGAAAGATAAGTTATGCTGCATGTCGGCGAGTGTCTGTTTATCGTTTTTTTTATCTGATCCGACATTGGAAGAGTCGGACGCCGGATCAGATTTCCAGCTGTCGTCAGGGATGTGATCCATTTTGGTTTTTCCTTCTTCTCCAGAAATGTTGTCATAAAAGTTCCCGCCTCCTTTTCGGATCACGTTCCTGACGACGAATCCATCATCACCTCCTCTAGGTTCCAGTTCAAGCATTGGCTGATGCCACCCAGCCTTTATTCCCATTTAACTTTGGTTTCCCAGACTAAACTGAATATTCCCACTGGAAGGAAAACGATAAATGAATCCTTTGTTTAGAGACGGATGCAGATTAAATCCCTGGAACTGGACTGGAGGAGGTGATGAGTGTTCTGTGAGTCTGCTGTCTTTGTGTTTTTGTGTCTGAGCTCCGATGTGGAGCGTGTTGGGGGTGGGGGGTGGGTGTTAAACCCAATCTAAACCTGGGATGGGTTCAGGGTTCAGGTGATTTCCTAGAGGAGGAAAATAAACCAAAATATCGACACCATGATTTGAATTTCTAAGTTTTCAGAGTTAAATTTGATCTCCCGATTTAAACCCGGCCTGCTGCCGGAGGCGTCCGATGACGTCCCGAAAAAAAACTTAAATTAGGCTCAAACGTCCTGCTGCCTTTTTTTCCTTCTTTCAATTTGGACTTTTTGTTCAGGAATTCTGTTTATTTTCCTCCTAAATGCCCTCAGGGTTTATTGACATTAAATTAAGAGAAATAAAACTTTAATTGGTTGATCTACAAAACACGGTTATTTTTTATCTTGTTTTTTTTTCCTGTAAGAAAACTCCAGTAAGATTTTGACCAAACTGCCCTCTACTGGTGTAACCTGGAAAAACATGCAGGGATTCAAAATTCAATAAATTGGCCTGAACTTTATTTTGTCTCATTGGTTTTTTGTGTCTTTGATTTTCACACATTTTAACAAACCATTCAGCATTTACAGTGAGATTATCAATTATTCTATAATTCCCAGTCGTCTTTAATCAACTCATTTTAAGAATACTCTGAATGTCGGTGACCAGATCATTTCTGGTACTGCTATATTTGGATTGTATGTGGGGTTTTTCTTCTGCAGGTTTGTTAATCCAGTATGTTCTTGTTTGATTTTACTAGGGAGACATCTATCGATTTATTTTAGTAATCCATCTCATTTTTCGAAGCTCGTCTGCCTGGCTGTGTGTTTCCTGGACGGGGCCGCCTGTGGAGCTGGTTGACAGTTGCCTTTTGCATCTATGCTTCTTTTTCTATGTCTGCTTCTGTCTCCTTGAACCCCAGTGGGCCTCAGCAGATGGCCGCTCACACTGAGCCTGGTTCTGCTGGAGGTTTCTTCCTGTTCAAAGGGAGTTTTTCCTCTCCACTGTCGCTACAAGCATGCTTAGTGTGAGGGATTGCTGAAGAGTCAATGAGTCGATGCAATCAGCTGGTTTTCCTTAGATAGAAAACTTTAAATCAATCTGACTGGATGATCTGGTGAACTGGAAAGTGACCTGAGATGACATGATGTGAATTGGAGCTATAGAAATAAACTGAATAGAATTGAAAAAAGGGATACTTTTAGTACATTTTTTCTACTATGGGGAAAAAAACACCCATTTTGATGTCAGTAATTTGCATCTCTGTCTTCTTGGTCGTTAGTTTTGCCATTTTAAAGTAGTGTACTGATACTATAATTAGGATATATTTAATTTTTCACATGCCAGTCTTTATTGCTTTGGTTCTGTTGGGTCTTCATTATTTGTGAAACATTTAGTTCGATGTATTAAATGTATGAAAATACGGTAAATATTTAAATAGCTCCAGTTTGCCAGTTGAAGTCCCTCCGGCTGCCATCACCTGCCAGGCCGCTAGGTGGTGCTACTCTCTCCCGACCACCATGAAGCTGCTGCTTCCTTTGATCAGTCTCCAACCGCTGCCGATCCAATCGGAAAGCAAAGCTGCTCCGTTCTGTTTGGATTCCAAGACTCGTCGTTATGCGGCCTTAAAATGCGTCCTTCTTTTTGCCCCATTTGAAGGACGGGTCCGATGTTTCCTCTCTAGCCTTGGATTACCCAGGATTCATTGGGAAACCAAGCAAGCCGGCTGCTCCGTGATCAGAGGAAAAGGGGAAATGGTGCCGAACAGTGGTGAATATTGGAAGTGCAGTTTATTATAATAAAAGTCATTTAATAGTTCCATCTGAAATTAATTAAAATAGTTGTTTTAATGGTTATTGAGTCAGATATGTGGCGGTCATGTTTGGTTTATCTAAAGGTTTTTATCTGTTACTGTGTAAATGGGTTTGGCTGTAATTTAAGGACAGATTCTAATATATCTGCAGGGTGGGGGCTATAAATCTGATAGGATTTTTATTTTTTTTATTGCTGTTTTGCACAATATGCTTAACTAAGTATTTTTTGTTGTTGAATATTAGATTTTGCATACATTGTTTATATTTACTTATATCTTTCTACCTCTTTGATAAAATAGAATAGAAAAAAATCTCTTTATTGTCCCACAATGGGCAAATTTACAGCAGCAGAAAGATTATTGAAAATGGTCACACAAATGAGGACCTTAGAAAAATGTATAAGAATAACATAATAGGGAAGAGTTCAAATATAAACAATAAAATTCTGTAAAGTGTTTTAACAATATAAAACTGGAGAATAAATAACCAATATGCAGCTATGGACATTTTTACAGTAATGGATAATTGAAAATAGCAGCAACATCAGAGATGTGCAGAATGACAGCAGCAGGTTATTTAAGTGACTAAGGTTTCTATCATATTTGATTTGATTTGTTCCTGCTCCCGCTGGTTGGAACCTTTATTCCACTCTGGATTTTCGTGAGTTTAGTCTTTATTTCTTTTTTTTATCATAAAGTGAACAAACAGTTTTGAAAACTTCGGTATTCATTCTTTTCCTGCTTTGGTGGGTCAACTCTCATGGTTGCTAAGCAACAGAGCATACGGCGGTAAAACCCGCCGAAGGGTAGACCTGTTCGAATTCACAGCCAAAACTCTTCTGGTCTCCTTATTTTCACGGACTTCGAAGCATCCAGTCTAGGTAGACCGCGATCTTGGAGGATGCAGCCCAGGATTTCCAACAGAGCCATAATATAACAGTAGACCCCGCGTTGACTGTCGCAGAGCAGAAATTACAGGCGCCATCTTGGGGAGGTCAACCTGCCACCCTAACCTGCTGCTTTAGGCAGAACAGAAGGATTCCTCAGCACTGTTTAAATTTTGTTTAAATCAACAGACTGTTTACATCAGGGCAAAAGAAATATAACTTTATAAAAAACAAAAAAAAGCTAAAACATCGATAAAAATAACATTCACATAAAATATAACATAAATATATTAATAAATATAAGTATAAAAATAAACAACATACTGTACTGTACAATGTTTTTACAAATATAAATACTGTGCATCTGAAAAATAGATGATATACAGCTGTGAACATTTTTACATATTTGTACAGTGTATATATATATATATATATATATATATATATATATATATATATATGGAGGGAGAGAGAGAGAGATGTATTTATAGAAATTTGTGTGTACCTGTATAAATATGTTTCTGTATCTATAAAAGTGTCTGAGTGGCTTTGCTTTGCAACATCGATCCTATCAGTATATTCTATCACTCTTAACCCCACTAGGAATATTTAAACAAACTGAACCATTTGTTTGTTTTCAGAAAAAAAATAAAACTGTGAAAATTTTTCATATTAAGCAAATTAAAGCTAACTCTGTTCCTGCTCGTTACATCACACTGAGCGGAACTGTTGACCGCCCCAAGATGGCGCCGCCTAATAACGTCAGCGCCTATAGGCAAAAGGCATCGAAGCGGGGTCTACCCTTATATCTATGGCCTGGTGCGTCAATAACTCCGCCATATTGGGAGGGTTGTCTTTTCTCGGTGGGCAAATTGAAATAAAAACAGCATTTTAACTTTTACAGACAGTTTACAAATGACGCCACTTTTTCAAAGGACGTAAAATAACGGACAGCTGGTTGAACCAATCACAGCGACCCTTGTCCGTCACATCCGCCACCTGGCTGCGGTTGACCCTACTTCCGGCCGCATCGTCCTCTGGAAACGTGAGTAAAACAAAAACCTTCAGCTCCTGTTTCCTTCCAGAAAACCCCCAGTTCCTGACAGCGGGTCGGACCGGACCTCCGCCGGCTGCCGGTGCTGGAGGCCGGGTTCCGGTGCTGGAGGCCGGGTTCCGGTGCTGGAGGCCGGGTTCTGGTCCAGTCATTCAACCTTCAGGGGCTCCTGAGAGGCAGATGGAGACTCCTCTCCACCTGGAAGCTTTACTCTCAGGCCGTTTGGTTCGTTTTAGTCTCATGTAGTCTTGATTTCGACCTAAATAAAAGTTTAAACATGCATGACTGAAATGAGCTGCAGTCCCTCTACTGTTAGACCTGTTAGTGAGGGGGTCAGATTTCAAGGTTAGAGATGAACCAGGAAAGGAAAACCATGAGGAAAAGCAGAGAGAGCAGAACGTTAGAGATTGAACTAACAGATTCTGCAGAGTGGGAGAATAGAGATAGAATGAAGCAGAATGATGAAAAAGGGGTCCCTATGTCCTCCAGCAGTCTAAGCCTATAGCAGCAGAACTATAGAGATAGCTCAGGATAACCTGAGCCACTCTAACTAGAAGCTTTATCAAAAAGGAAAGTTTTAAGCCTAGCCTTAAAATTAGACAGGGTGTCTGCCTCACAGACTAATAATCACCATTTATCCAATAATCACCTCTCCTTTCTCAGCATCTCCCAGGATGGGTAATGTTTTGGCTGCCAGCGCCCCCAGCCCACCCCCTCCTCCATCAGCGTCCAGTTCGCCCTCCCCCGGGGTGACGCTGCCGCCTGGCTTCGGGATGCCCCCCGTCCTTCCTCCAGCTGGAACAGGACCTGGACAGCAGCAGCAGGAGGCTCCAAACCCCCTCCCCAACCCTGGAGCCTTTGACGAATGTCATCGGAAATGTAAAGGTAAGCAAAGCTTGATGCTGAGCAGCATCACGGTACGGATGGAGGTAACATCTCTGCTCTGATCCTCAGAGGTGTTCCCCATGCAGATGGAGGGAGTCCGACTGGTTGTGAACAAGGGTCTGAGCAACCACTTCCAGGTCAGTTTGTGTTTAACAGGAACTGCATAAGGGCTGCAGTGTTTAACAACCTTTGATCATAGAGTAAACGGGGAGGGGGTTAACATTAATCAATGCTAGGCAGTTGCTTAGGGGCTCAAGTTCCTGGGGGCCCCATAAAACTCTGTTTCCATGTATGTTAATACAACTATTCCTTATTTGTGCACATTAATTATGTTTTTGATAAAAATCCTTTCTCTAAAATGCCATCAGAACGCTGATAATATTAAGTGTGTCTCAGCCCCCCCCCTTCAGTGTCCACCATATTGGATCAGTCCATTTGCTGCACATGTTCAGAAAGGTCCAAACAGACAGCAGCAAACCATTTGAAAACAAACCATGCAAAGAGCAGTGTTGCCAACTTAGCGCTTTAGTCGCTATATTTAGCCACTTTTCAGACCCCTCTAGCACTTTGATTTCTAAAAAGCTCCTAGCGCCAAATCTAGAGACTTTTTTCTGCTACTGGAGACTTTGGAGACAACATCTAAAAGCAGCGAACTCTGCTCTCCAGAGCGAGTAGATTGGTAACCCCGCCTCCTGCTCTCCTCTATCTTGTCTGCTGTCATGATTCATGCAGCTATTGTTTCATCCAAATGAAAAATGGAGAACAGATAAGCAGATCATGGCTTGTCTACAGTGAAAAGAAGGACTGGGTTATTTACTTTGGCCTTTTTGGAAACACAGGAAGGGTTTGCCTAGGGCCCCAAATTTCCTTAATTGGCCCCTGAGAGTAAAATAAGGGCCACTGTCTTTCTTAAACCACTAACGTCTATGCCAGAGAAAATAAAATGTTTTTTCCCGATTGTGAAGCGGAACTAAAATGATACATGATTGTTTTCAACACAAAAATCTGAAAAGTGTGGCGTGCATTTTTTTTATTTTGCCCCCATGCTCAATAGCTTATAAACCCAGCGTCCCCCCCCAACCCCTGGTGGCACAGGTCCAGCTGAAAGGTCCTCTAGAGGTTTTTATTTTTTTTATTTATTTTTGCAAAACAGCTGAAACTCAGTCAGTTTGGGTTAGTATGGAGAGAAATTTGTTCCATTATTATACAAATTATACAAATTGCTAACATCCACACAGACCAATGGGAGTGGTCGTCTTTTTCACGACCCAGAAGTGAAGAGAAAATTATCTTTAAAACACACTTGGAAAACAATTAAATTCATAAAATTAATCTGAAATAGAGAAATTTTAAATATATGATTAAAAAAAAGTAATGTGAAAAAAATATAACGATGTAAAATATGACTGATTTTTCAAATAATTTTATTCTCAAAACATCTTTTTAATTAAAATATTTTTCTTTTTTTGATTCAATTTACAAAACATGTTCTTTGCAATAATAATGCACCATAATTCACTTCATAGTGGGCGGAGTTAGAAGGGGGCCAAATCAGTTGATTTGTTTCTCCCTGTGGAAGTAACTTTACCGCCTTCAGAAGAAGCAGTTCCCCTCTGAACCACTAGGTGGTAGCAGTGTAATGTTGTAATGACTTGATTTTTCAGCTGTTGGTACATTACCAAAGACCTGACAAACAGAATGGCTGGAATTAAATAATTATTCACATCTATAGACTAACATTAAATTAGACGTAACAAATAATTCCTGTTTTTTCATCCAGGAGTTTGAAATTAGACATAAAGTTTGAAGACGTTTCTCTTCCATCCAGGAAGATTTTTCAATTCCAAATGGCAGAAATAGCGTTTGGTTCCAGGTTTTATCCAGCAGCCCAACAAAGCCTGGTTTTAGTTCAGAAAAATGCTAATTGAATCGGATGAACGGGTCCCCCCCTTTGGAATGGGGGTCGTTTGGCTCGTTTGTTCGCCTGCAATGCCCCATACCTGTCTATGTCTCTGATGTTTACGGTTTTAACACTCAGTAAACCGGATCTTTCCAGGTGAATCACTCCCTGCTGCTCAGCACCACCGGAGACTCCAGCTACAGGTTTGGAGCGACGTTTGTTGGATCCAAACAGGCCAGTCCTGCAGAGGTACGCAGCAGTCGAAGCTCCCCCCCCCGGTCTTTCTGGGTTAGGATGGTAAAACCAATGATCTGCTCTGGTTGCTCAGTTCTTCCCGGTCATGGTGGGAGACATGGATAACAGCGGCAGCCTGAACTCGCAGATCATCCATCAGATCAGCAGCAGGATCCGCTCCAAAGTGGCGTTCCAGGTGAGCAGAGCTTCTGATGGCGCCGGGTTTCATGCGGGCTCCTGCTTTGATGCTGATCTGTCCGCAGACGCAGCAGCAGAAGTTTGTGAACTGGCAGGGCGGCGCCGAGTTCAAGGGAGACGACTTCACGGCGGCGGTGACATTTGGAAACCCCGACGTCCTCGCCGGCTCTGGTACGGCCTCCAGAACTCAGATCCAGTGGGATGTTGGGGATGGGAAAAGATTTTTCTCCTCAACAACCAATCAGGATGCAAATGGAATCTGATGGTTGCTATGGAGACTTGGTTAGGTTTGAAGATGTCCCGCCTCTCTTGGCGTCCCCTTTTCCGGGTTGATCCGTTGAGTCTCCTCGATGCGTGTCTGACTGAAGCTCTGCTTTCATCAGGGATCGTCATCGCTCACTACCTGCAGTCCATAACTCCGGCTCTGGCGCTGGGAGGGGAGCTGGTTTACCACCGCAGGACCGGAGAGGAGGGCGCCGTGGTGTCGCTACTGGGTCGCTACACAGGTGAGTCCCACCGTCGGCTCGCCGCCGAACCGTCCACGCGTTTCCTGACGGCTTCCCTCTGTGCAGGCGGTAACTCCATCACCACGCTGACCCTCGGCTCGACGGGAGCTCACGCGTCGTACTACCACAGAGCCAACGACCAGGTGACTGCCTCCGCCGTTGCTACAGCAACCGATGTCTGCAAAACTCTTTATTTTTTTTTGATGTGCCTCAAACTTCTCAGCTTGTTTTTATTTTGGTTAGAAGATGTGATGCAATGAAGGGATGTTAGAAGCTAAAAGGACCCGTTGACCTTTGACCCCTGCGCATCTCTGTTGTCCTGCAGCTGCAGGTCGGCGTGGAGTTTGAGGCCAGCTCCCAGGCACAGGACTCCAGCGTGACGTTTGGCTACCAGCTCGATGTTCCCGGAGCTAACCTACAGTTCAAAGGTCAGCGATGTTCAATTCAACTGATGCTGCTCAGGGTTCTGTGGTTAGAGGGAGAAATCCTCAGCAATGAGCTCACAGAGAGCCAGGGGTTAACAGGACCCCTGAAGCTCCGCCCCCTGCAGGAAGCAGCTCGTCATGACATGGGCTTAGGGTCAAATGCAGCTGAAGTTTGGTCCTTCTTGGTCACAGAACCAGGATCCAAACAAGCAGCAGGAGACAAAGTTCTCTAATGGCCTAGTCAAAGTCCAGACGTCAGCCTGGCTGAAATGAGGTGGTGGGACCTTCAGAGATCTTTGATGTATTCAATTCTATTCAGTTTATTTCTATAGCTCCAATTCACATCATGTCATCTCAGGTCACTTTCCAGTTCACCAGATCATCCAGTCAGATTGATTCAAAGTTTTCTATCTAAGGAAAACCAGCTGATTGCATCGACTCATTGACTCTTCAGCAATCCCTCACACTAAGCATGCTTGTAGCGACAGTGGAGAGGAAAAACTCCCTTTGAACAGGAAGAAACCTCCAGCAGAACCAGGCTCAGTGTGCGCGGCCATCTGCCGAGGCCCACTGGGGTTCAAGGAGACAGAAGCAGACATAGAAAAAGAAGCATAGATACAAAAGGCAACTGTCAACCAGCTCCACAGGCGGCCCCGTCCAGGAAACACACAGCCAGGCAGACGAGCTCCGAGCCAGCTCCCATGTCAGAGGATGAAGAGAGCACATCCAGTTAGTCACAGTCAGAGAAACAGGACTACACAGGAAAACAGGCCAAGCTCCAACATCTAGAAACAAAGGTGTTGATGGCAGCAGCACAGCTGATATTTCTCTCCAGGATGGAGTCACAGCCAAACAGGAACAGACCAGATGAAGCTACTATGAGAAAAAGCAGAGAGAGCAGAACGTTAGAGATTGAACTAACAGATTCTGCAGAGTGGGAGAATAGAGATAGAATGAAGCAGAATGATGAAAAAGGGGTCCCTATGTCCTCCAGCAGTCTAAGGCTATAGCAGCAGAACTATAGAGATAGCTCAGAAACAGCAGTGAACCAGGAGGCTGTTATCAGGTTCTGGTGAGGATGATGTAGAGGAGATGTTCTGATGCGGTTTTTCTGCCTCCAGGTTCCATTGACAGTAACTGGGTTGTCGGAGCGACGCTGGAGAAGAAGCTGCTTCCTCTTCCTCTCTCTCTGGTTCTCTGCTCCTTCCTGAACCACCAGAAGAACAAGTTCCAGTGCGGCTTCGGCATCACTATTGGTTAGAACCCAGGAGGGACTCGGACTCTAACGGTTCTGCCGCGTCAGCGCCTCAGCCGGTCTGATCCTGCTGCGTCCGGCTGCTGGTCGTTAGTAGAAGAGGAAGTCGTTAGCAGCTTAAATCTGAAGGATGGGCGGAGCTTCAGTCTGAAGGACGGCAGATATTCGAGAGACAGCAAGCGCGATTTGTGGCACTGGCAGGTCGCTCTTGAACTTCCGGTGGCAGGTCGGACTGCCACGGCGTATTACTGGCAGCTGCCAGTAGTTGTGGCAGCTGCCACTAGGCTGCCACAACTACTGGCAGCTGCCACAACTACGGAGACTGGCTGCCAGACCGGTTTAAACCGTTTCGGAGGCTGCCGGCGCCGTTTTTCGGCAAAAAACTTAGTTAACGTGACTCTATAGGTGGATTTTTTTTTTTTTTTATTACGATCTTATTGTTTAATAAAATGTGTCAAGCATTTCATAAAGTCCTAGAGGTAATTCGTCTGAAAATAAGTGGGAATTGACAGCTGTCACATCAGGGTGACAGTCTTCACTGACACCTGCCAGTAGTTGTGGCAGCTGCCACAACTACGGAGACTGGCTTCCAGCTGCCACAACTACGGAGACTGGCTTCCAGCTGCCACAACTACGGAGACTGGCTTCCAGCTGCCACAACTACGGAGACTGGCTTCCAGACCGGTTTAAACCGTTTCGGGGGCAGCCGGCGCCGTTTTTCAGCAAAAAACTTAGTTAACGTGACTCTATAGGTGGATTTTTTTTTTTTTAATTACGATCTTATTGTTTAATAAAAATGTGTCAAGCCTTTCATAAAGTCTTAGAGGTAATTCGTCTGAAAATAAGTGGAAATTGACAACTGTCACATCAGGGTGACAGTCTTCACTGACACCTGCCAGTAGTTGTGGCAGCTGCCACAACTACTGGCAGCTGCCACAACTACGGAGACTGGCTTCCAGACCGGTTTAAACCGTTTCGGGGGCTGCCGGCGCCGTTTTTCAGCAAAAAACTTAGTTAACGTGACTCTATAGGTGGATTTTTTTTTTTTTAATTACGATCTTATTGTTTAATAAACTGTGTGAACCTTTCATAAAGTCCTAGAGGTAATTCGTCTTTAAATAAGTGGAAATTGACAGCTGCCACTGGAACCTGACACTAGGTGTCCCTGGCCACTTGTCTGTGAAATACTCTTTTAAAACCATGATATTGCTTATTAATATGTGTAAAACCTTTAATGGTGTGGCTGCATTTACTTTGGAAGCCATAGCGTAAATAGTGCTATCTATGTATTTAATGTGCTGTAAGGAAAGAGGCATTCCATACACTGCTGATGTGTTACACAGAATAGTTAGTATGACATACATAGCCATACTGAAAGCACCTCGCCATGAGGGTGTCAGAGAACACTGGGAGTTGACATCGTTCCACATAATACTGGAGGGTGAAAATGAGGTTAGGTCGTAGTAATTGTAATTCTATGGTGATGATTAGTATGTGTCTCTCCTTAAATCTATCTAAAATCCAGATAGGCTGCAGCAATAAAGATATATGGTTACTTGTAAAAGTCTTTATTTACAGAAGTTATTCAAATCTTGCAAAAACTTTTAGTTTTTTTACATCCACAATGTACAAACAGAACTTTTCATAATCCTCCTTCTTTTCAAAAACAAAAGTAAAATGCTCTGCTGGAGAATATTCATGATAGTCTTCATCCCATGTCTTGAGGGCCTCGAGAGCTTCTGCTTGTTCTAGCTTGTCCATATCCAGAACAACAGGAAGTGTTATTCTTCCACTGAATTTTTGTTCTCTGCACCAGTCAGCTGCAGCCTGACTATCGACAATGAACGGGCTTCCCTGCAGAAAATGATAGATTAGTTACAGATTGCTAATTTAGCCTACATCAAGGGATCATGTTTCCTTTTACATTTGACAAAAACAGATTACATTCAAATAGCTATGTAGTTTAACCCTTTTCTGTTAACCTTTTCTGTGGCTTCTTCTTCCTGGGATTCTGAAAGTCTGGAAATAAATGAACAAAAAGAGAGGGGGGGGGGGGGGTGAGCCAGTACTGTATCCTTTAATGAATGCAGTATATGTAGTTGTGCACACGCAGTTGTTATTTACCCCTCATTTTCCTTCACGGTATTCATGAGCATCATCTCGGCTTGGTAGCGGCAAAGGTTGTTGTTTCGCAGCCACTGGATGACAACCTAAAAAGATACAAATAATGTACAGCAGTTGTAAAATACTAAATCAGTCAGATTTCCATGTTCAAATGTTTTATTTTTTTATAATGGATACTCTTATTATCACACAATTTTAGCATTGCTTATTATTCCCTAACACCATTTACATATGATGCATCATTTAAGTTAAGGGCATTGCATCAGGACAAATATTTTTATGGGTGACCACTGTGATATTTGTCAATTGTCTATTTACATTTCTTTTGTTTTTAAAGTTTGTTTTGGTTATGCAGACAAGAAATCACCTGGCAGTGTTGGAAGCCATTGTAAAATTGGTACCTATTTTTACAAAAGGACTCAAGAGGGAGACATTGTTCAAGTTCAGTTGTTATTAAAGTTGTTGCTGTCACTGAAATATTACATTTTTTGTGCCAAGTTATTTTTGGCAATGTTTTCTGCTTTGTTGTGTTATCACTCCATCGTATGATCTGTTCAGTTTTCTCCATCCCAATCAAATCAGCATTTGTTGTCGTAGGAGGATGTATCAAAAAGTATCCTCTGTCAAATACGTAAAAGAAAAACAACATTTATAAGTTTTAATGTATTGCTAATATTTTAAGATGAGCAATAATATCTTACTCGATCAATATTGAGTAAAATAAATGGATAAATTCCTTTTTCTGAATAAAATAAATTGTTGGACTGAGTTAACTATTACTGACTAAGTTGTTTGTAGTTGTTCTTGGCTACTAAAACCTGTAAATATATGGTCTGGCTGTTAAAACCACTTACCTGCCTTGGGTTTTCAAGAATAACAAACCAATTTCTATGCTTAGTGTATTTTGATGAAACTTTAAAATAGGGTCAGAGTTACCGCATATCTGGCAACCATTTACTGTTGATACCACAGACACGTATACGTAGACGCCCCGTCCTCAGGTGAGAGGCGTGCCGACAGAGCGGCCTTCTTAGGTCAGACCAATCCCCCCCTCTCCCACTCCGCAATAAACTAGAAATTTAAAACTTTTTTCCTGGGTTAAAACTATATGAAAATGGATATAAACAGCAAGCAAAAACATTCGAAGAAGTTATTGTTGTTGGTTTGAAAGCTCAGAATTAGATGAGAGATCGAAAAAATTAACAAAACATATGACTTTATTGAAATGTACAATTTTTAATCATGTATATGCGTAATACCATGTCTATCTTTGTTTAAGAGGCAAAAAATATATCGGCATGAAAACAGGTATTTCTTTACAAATTTATTTACACATTGTGTAAACAGCAGGGCGTCATTATTAGTCATTTAGCAATAGCCCAGAGTTTAACATTTGGCACTAGGATGTCTTCATTCCAATTCTGAAAGTGCTTGAAAAATAACAAAATTAAAATATTGTTTGTACAAGCATGTATTTTATTAGTGTCATTTATTCCCAAATTGCCTTTGAAAATGCCCTAACAGGCTATTACACGTTCAGATATGAAATTAAAAAATACATAATTAATTTGTGATTAATCTTGCAATTAACTATCAACATTGTGATTTATTGCAATTAAAAAATGATCTTTTTACAGCCCTAATATAAATACATGTCTTGTGTCCTTCACATTTGTTAATTTTGTTTTTATTGTAAAGAGTATTAATAAGTTTTCTTCCCGAAGCGGTTAAAGTAAACTAATACCCACTCCCGAGTTCAGACAGTAGATGGCGCAAAAGCAATAATGTAACCTACTGGATCTAGATATTTACCTGAGAGAGCACCTGCTAACTAACCAAGAAATTAATGAGAACGTGTGGCAGCATAATTGTCAAAAAAGCAGTTTTTCATATTTAGGCCCGAACATTAAACAGAATCAAGAGTAGATGACGAGACGAACAGCCATGGTAATGTTACAGTACGAACTTTGGTGGATGATGAAGATTTGCCGGCATGCGTCACAAGACTAGAGGAAGCCGCAGCCGATTTCTCCACCCTCCCGACCGGGCCAGTTTGGAGGCTGTCTCGAGTCAAGCATGCAGGCCATATAACCTTGTTGTTACGTTCATAAAGCACTCAAAATCTCTCTCTCTCTCTCTCTCTCTCTCTCTCTCTCTCTCTCTCTCTCTCTCTCTCTCTCTCTCTCTCTCTCTCATATATACAATATATACATATATATATTATACATATATATACAACGACTGGCAACTACTACCAGGCTGCCAGCATAAACTGGCAGGACAGCCAAACTTTCACCCTGTCGTGGCAGCTGTCAATTTCCACTTATTTTAAGACGAATTACGTCGTTCCATCAAATAAATATGACTTTATGAAAGGCTTGACACAGTTTATTAAACAATAACATCATAATTTCAAAACAAAAATCCACCTTGAGTCACGCTAACTAAGCTTTTTTTGCCGAAAACCGGCACTGGCAGCCCCCAAAACGGTTTAAACCGGTCTGGAAGCCAGTCTCCGTAGTTGTGGCAGGTGTCAGTGAAGACTGTCACCCTGATGTGACAGTTGTCAATTTCCACTTATTTTCAGACGAATTACCTCTAAGACTTTATGAAAGGCTTGACACATTTTATTAAACAATAAGATCGTAATTTAAAAAAAAAAATCCACCTATAGAGTCACGTTAACTAAGTTTTTTGCTGAAAAACGGCGCCGGCTGCCCCCGAAACGGTTTAAACCGGTCTGGAAGCCAGTCTCCGTAGCAGTAATACGCCGTGGCAGTCCGACCTGCCACCGGAAGTTCCAGAGCGACCTGCCAGTGCCACAAATCGCGCTCGGCTCTGCTGAGATATTCAGTCTTCCTGCTCCGATTCTCCTTCCTGTAATTTTTATTTTATTTTATTTTGGTTTGTGAAGGACTTTTATCTTTTCTTTGAAGTCCTGAACCGTTCCAGCTGCACTATCTGAACTCTCGCCTGCTCTGATGTTGGTTCTGTTAAACCCGTTTGGATCGACTGTTTATTCCTCCTGCTTCGTGTCAAACAGTCTTAAAGAGTTATTTTTCTTTTTTACAAAATCTTCAGTCTCTCTTCTTTTAGTCGGTGAGATGAAACATCAAAGAAACATTTGTTCAAAGGTATAAAGATTTAAATAAAGTTTGAATTATTTTTAATCTGAGCATTAAACATGGATGGTCTCTGGTGTCTGGTTAGTGGATTTCTGGCAGTAACTGGTTAGACTGGGCTCTATTTTTATCTCCATGCTATGCTTAAGAGTTTTATTTTGAAAATCTTTTGGAAGCCATGAAATATTTTCTTTTGTGTCATTTTTTGTGTTTCTTATACGATCCGTTCTAATTTGTGGTCGTAAAGCATAAAACTTGGAAGTTTTCAAAGTATTGGAATATATCTTAAAGCCAGTAATATTGCTGCTTATTATTCCCAAAGAAATAAAGCTTCAAAGAGGCTTTAAAGCCTGGAAACATTGAGTCTTTGGCACGGCGGAGGCGTCGTCATGTTGTGGGAGAAACATGATGAAAAGGAATCCATGCCTCCAATGTTATTTTTAATTGAATTTGTCTAACTGATCAATGATTCCAAACTTGCGTAGAGTTTAAGTTCAGAACCACAGATTTCCCTCCTAAATGGGCCTGAATCCTCCTGATGGGCAGGAAGTCCGGATCTGAATTTGAATCGAGTCACTGAATCTGCGTTTGTTTCATTTGAAGTCAAAATGCGTTAGTTTGAAGATAAATTTCACTCAATCTGCATTTAAAGGAAAAGTCTGCAAGGAATAATCAATGAATCATTATTTATACCTAAAACTACCTGTGGCTCCTCCTCTAAATAGGTGGGCTGGTCCTAAAATATGGACTGGATGTGAACCTGGTATGTCGTCTGTTAGCACTAAGGCTGTGTTGAAAACGCGGACTGGATTTCTAGTCAGTGTGGTATTTTTATACATAAATAATTGGAAAGGAGTTGAGTTTTAATGTCCATAATTTCTTGGTGTGGAAAAATGGAAATATGGAGTGAAGATACTGAGATGGGTGACAGTTGACAGGTCTGTGATGCTAACAGCGAGCTAACCTACAGCTATGAGCTAAAGACACAAAATTAGCACAGTTTGTCGCCTGTGTTCCATTTTCTTTAGCATTTCCCGATCTTAATGTTCGATATGATTAATGATATTAATGTGACATCTGTTAGAGCTCAACATGATGTAAGATAAGTTTAACTTTGTGTAAAACATCAGAGAATCTGTGTTTGATTGCTCCACAGTTTAAGAGCCCAGGTTTTCTACAACTTTCTAACTGAAATACATTTTTAATTCTTTATAGGGCAAGTTAGTGTTCGCTGCAAAAACCATCTAGAATTAGATAAAAAATATTCTTAAATTGAGTGTATTTACCCTTAATTTTAGCAGATAAGATGATTTCCCAATGGATTTAGTATTTCTACTCCTAAAACAAGATAATTAGATAATATGCACTTGAAATAAGACAAAGCAATAGTCTTTTTCTCATTTAAAATGTAAATTGTCTTGTTCCATTGGCAAATTTTCTCAATTACCTCCTCAATTCAAGAAAAATGCACTTAATTTAAGCAAAAATGACTCATTTAGATTCATTTTTTGCAGTGTTTTTGATCTCTTCCTCTCCCCTACAAATGTAGTCCCACCCCCCGTCCCTCAGTGAGGTCTAGAAGCACAAGATCTATATCAGCCATTCAGTAAAGATCCTGCTACATGGCGGAACATCTTATTTTGGCATTTGACCAACTAGATGAGCCCATGAATGATAAATTACCTGCTGGAAATTAAGTTGGAAAAAAAAGTTAACAAGTCGGGAAAAAAAGTAAAAAGTTGATTGAAAAGATAAAAAGTAAATATGCTGATGAAGATTCTCAGTCATTCAGGTCATAGTTTTCCCGTAAAAGATCAAAAAAATATAATAAATTTGAAAATCTCATCCAATTCAAATCTTGGAAACCAAGTCCAGTGGATATTTTTTTAACTTTTACGGGATAAAAAGTAAAGCTAAAAAGTTAATAAGCCTAGCCAGCAATTATATTTAGGTTTATAAACAAAAAAATGTCAGTGCCAGTATCAGCATTAATGCCTTTAAGGTTCTGTTGGACCACAAAAAAATGCATTTCTTTCGCTCTCAGAGTGATTTTCAGGAGTTTTTTAAAGAAGCACTTTTGTTATTTTTCTTAATATATTCGGGCAAGTTGGCGTTTCTTCTTATTACATTGACATTAATTTTTATCCATCAAAATATCCATATTTTTTAAATGTTCCAAAGGTAATAAGATTTTTGTCCTGGATTCCAATAACACATTATGTTTAACCTATAAAGGGTTAAACATAGAGATAAAAAATGTAAACCTTAATTTTTTATCATACAAGAACCTTTTTTTTAAGCAAATGCATTTGGTTTTAAATTGTTAAATATAGTTTCAGTTTGTTGAAGATCAATTTTACATTAATGCATTTCTTTTAAATTACATAAACACAGATTCAGGAAAACTAAAAGCTAATTTTCTGATGCTGTTATTATTTTCTGCACGTTGTGTTTATTTGAGCCTCCATAGTTCTGTCTGAGCAGAACGGCAGGAGGTGACCTCTGACCTCGGACGACTCGGAACACATTGCAAAAATATTTAAATCTGAATAAATATTTTTTTCTTAGAATAAGTGAATTTTTTTCTTGAATTGTGGAGGAAATTTAGACCCTTTGCCAATGGAACTAGACAATTTATATTTAGAATAAGGAAAATCAAATACATTTTCTTATTTCAAGTGTGTTTTATCTAGTTATCTTATTTTAAGAGTAAAAATACTCATTCCATTGGCAAATAAAGGTAAATACACTTAATTTAAGACATTTTTACTGATTTCTCGATCGTTTTTTGCAGTGTAAGAGGCAGAAAAAAAGACTTTTGGAGATTAAATGTTTATTTCTGCAAATTTAAATAAATGTTGACAGGAGAAGAGGAATGAGAAGGTTGAGAGGAACCAAACTGTTCTTCCTTCAGAAGGTTCGGTTTGTGTGAAATACAATGAGTCCGAATAAATACTAGGAGTCTGTTTACTGGGTCTTCTGGGTGAAGGATGCCCACAGAGCAGCCAGCCTGTTCTTCAGGTCCTGAGCGCTGCCATCCAGGCTGGCCCTCAGGTCCTCCCCGTACGGAACCAGACTCTGCTGGATCTCCTGGCTCTTCTGGGCCACCTGGGTCTCAAAGCTTTGAGCCAAGGAAGTCACCCTGCCCTGGAACTCCTGCAGGCTCTGCTCCATCTTCTCCCTCACCTCTTCAGTGTGGGGAACCATGTGGGCCTGCAGCTGAGTCACGCTGCTCTCCAGCTGCCCCTTCAGCTCCTGGCTCTTCTGCAGCAGGACGGCCTTCAGGGCCTCGGGGTCCACGGCCTCAGCCAAGGGGGTCGCCTCCTTCTTCAGCTCCTCCACCCGGCTCTGGAGGCTGGTCATCAGCTGCTCGCAATAGGGCTTGATGCTGGAGCCCAAAGCGGTCAAATCGTTCTCCAGACGGGTCTGCAGCTGCTCCGCCTCCTGGTTGAACCGGGTCAGGAAGTCCTGGGTGAGAGGAGCAGCCTGAGTCTGCAGGGATACGATGTACTGGTTCACGGCGTCGGCGCTCTGGGAGATCTTCGTACTGATGGAAAGAAAAGCCTCTTATTATCCCACTGTGTTCTGACCCATTTTCCCATCCAGGCAGCCAGACTGGAGCAGAACCACCCTAAGTGGCTGCCTGGGGGAGGATCCAAAGAACTGAACCATCACAGAAATCCAGTTCTTACTTCACTTCCTGTCCAAGTTCGGACTCTCGGATCTGCTTCAGGGAATCCTCAGCGGTCTGCGTCGCCTTGGCAACGTAGTCCCAGAAAGCGTCCTTCACCACCTCCAGGTTGGTCTTCGGAGGCTCGCGCCACAGGATGTTGGCGTTACAAACTGTGGAGGAAACGTGCTGGTGAAGATTCTCAGTCATATATAAAGTTATAAACAATCCACTGGACTTTGTTTGCAAGTTTGAAGACGTTTCTCTTCCATCCAGGAAGATTTTTCAATCCAAAATGTCAGAAATAGCGTTTAGTTCCAGGTTTTATCCAGCAACCCAACAAAGCCTGGTTTTAGTTTAGAAAACATGCAGATAGAAACGGAATAACGGGTCCCCCCCTTTGGAATGGGGGTCGTTTGGCTTCTTTGTTAGCCTGCAATGCCCCATACCTGTCTATGTGTTTAAGTTTGGTATGAAAAACTTAAACAGAGGGGGGGGGGACTCAGGTTTCAGCTTTCAAAAACCTACAATGCAGCAATAGAGTTGATTCCTTCCTGCTATCATCGCAGCCCCAACCCCTTTACAGGAGAACAGAAGACCTCACCTGTTCAGCCAGGCCAACAATTCCCTCTAACGACCCCCCTTTCAGAGACATAGACAGGTATGGGGCATTGCAGGCTAACAGAGAAGCTAAACGACCCCCATTCCAAAGGGGGGGCCCGTTCATCCGTTTCTATTTGCATGTTTTCTAAACTAAAACCAGGCTTTGTTGGGCTGCTGGATAAAACCTGGAACTAAACGCTATTTCTGACATTTTGAATTGAAAAATCTTCCAGGATGGAAGAGAAACGTCTTCAAACTTGCAAACAAAGTCCAGCGGATTGTTTTTTAACTTTTTTTGGAATATGGCGGAGCGTCACGTTAAAAAAACTGAAAAAAATCCCAAGATTTGCTCACCTGAGAAAAGAACCAGAACCACCAGGAGCTTCATGTTTCTTCTCTGTGCTGCAGAATCAAAGACAATCGTTCAGATCCAAAGCCAAGCCTGCACTGATCAGACAGAAACCAGAGTTTCACCTTCCAGAAGCTGCTGCTGCTTTCTCCTTCAGTGTGGGGTCGGTCTGCTCTGCACCGCCGGGCCCTCCCGGGTTTTATAGCCACGTTTGAGGGTAAAGTCCTGCTGGAGCTGCACTGTTGGACACATTCCTGTCACCGCTGTCATTCCACATCACAATGTGGGATCATCCCCTGAATCAACAGCTCTGGCCAGCTGAAACCACTGGAAGGGCGTCACATGCTGCAGCAGCTCTACGGGCGGTTCTGTTTGGACCCACTGGCAGGTCCGGTTTCAGCCTGCTTTCCCTTCCTGGTCGCTTCCAACACATCTGAGCAGAAACAACAAACACATCCTGCCCTCCTAGTTCAGCTCAGCCGGTGGCCATTTTATTAGGCACAATCACAGGCTGGCATTTTGAATTTAAAGGATCAGGAGGGGATTAGAGCTCTGTGGACAAAAGGACGTTTTCCAAACTTCTAATTATTTCTCAAAATAATATTTGTAAATTATTAACCTAAATCTCTGACTTAAGTCAATAATTTCTAATATTCTCACCAAGCGTAACGGACAGTAACTCTTGCTTTAACCATCCGTTCACTAAGTTAGACGTAGGCTGGAAAGTTGGTCTCTAGCTAATCTGTCATGCTGCTAATTAATCTGTTTTGAGTTTAAAACTGAGAGAATCTTAATCTGTATTTAGTGAGATTTTTGCTTTCCTTTCTGGGTCTTTATCCTCCTCAGCCTTTTCAACCAAACAACTGTGTGAGAAATGCAGCAACCTGTTGGAGGGACACAGGTGGAAGATTTACCATTAGGTAATACTGGGCAGTTGCCCAAATTCCTGGGGGCCCCATAAAACTGTAAACATGTAATGTTAATAAAAATATTCCTTATTTGTGCACATTAATTATGTTTTTGATTTGAAAAAAATTCTTTGGCTAAAATGCCATCAGAACGCTGATAATATTAAGTGTTTCTCAGCCCAGTTTGTCAGACATATATAATAGAATGCACAAATTAAAATATAAGTAAATGAACCTTAAAATAAGTGTATTTTCCTTTGACTGGAGCAGGTAGGGAAGAAGATGTTTTGTTTTTGTTTTTAATAAAAATAACTCAACTCTATTGCCTTATTTCAATGCATATGATCTAATTATCTTATTTTAAGATGCTGTACTTATAAATTTGATGCTTCCTCATAAGCTTAATTATTCTGAGTAAATTTGTGATTCCTTCTCGTGTTTTTGAAGAATTGTAACTTGTATTAATTAATAACTTCTAAACTTTAATTCCAGTGGCACGGGAAGGGGGGTGCTGCGGGGCTGCAGCCTCCCTCGTCATAGCATCAGCCCCCCATGGTGGGGGGCTGTGGAGTAACATAATATTGTACTTAAAAACATGAAATTATTTATGTATTTATTTTTTAAAAGACTGTGTTTGATATGGGATAAAAATGATGGTCTGTGTATAAGATATAAACTAATGATTCATTATTTTAATATTTCATAAAAAACTAGGCTACTCCCCCGGAAGCTTCCGCCACCTCACATTCGTTTAGGCATGGCAAGCAAAAGGCAGCAGAAACGTATTTCTGACTATTTCGAGATAAGAAATGGTTTTTATTCCCCTATACTGCCGCCGAGCATTTATTTAGCGTTATTTATTTCTTATTTATTTATATATGCTGTGTCTATTTGTCGTAGTCCTGTGGCTGAAGAAGTCTACGCTAGAATAAGGCTGCATATCACTAAATATTATGTCTGTATTAAGCTATTTAGTGATAAAATATGAAATTAGTTTGTTTTTTTGTGTGTTTTTTGTTTCAAATATGAAATCATTCCCCATATCCATAGTCGAATGGACTTTCAAGACGTTCAATGCTCAGTTTAGGCGATATTTAGGACATGTTTCATTCAAGTATTCCTGATCCTGTTGATTGGGAGCTATTGTTTGTTTTGAATTATTAAAAGAGAAGAAATAAAGTTTAAAATGTTCATGCTTTGTTTATTTTAAATGGCAGTTCTTGGCGACAAATGTAGGCCTACAATATTATGTTAAAAACATCAGCCACAGCCCTGAACATAATGATGTCATGTGTTTTCCAACCCAGCCATCAGCCCCCCTCGCTTGAAACAGCTTCCAGCGCGCCTGTTTAATTCCCACAGATGAAATATCTGCTGCCACGTGTAGCTCTGAGCTGAAAAATACAAATATTCAATTTATTTACATTATCATCCTACATTTAAGAATTTGCATACTTTTTTTCATTTTATTTTTTTTATGGACAGATATTTTACCACAGACCTTTGCTTATTTTGCAGGTTAAATTCTACAGTTTTATCTCCTTTGACAGAAATTATTGGTCATAGAGAGGAAAAGAAGAAGAAAAGGGACAAGAAGAGAGGGACACAACCTAGAATAGATAATGGATGTCTATTCTATTAACATTTCTACATCTGGAGAATGGGGCTGTTTGATGTGTTGTCTTCTATATTCAGAGGGCCCCGTGCCTGTCTTTGCCTAGGGCCCCAAATTTCCTAAATCTGCCCCTGGAGGGACAGGCTTGACCCATAGGGCTGTCAGGATTATTTTGGCAGCAAAAAGTCAGACCGTTAGGTAGGGGATCCTAATCTAATGGCAGGTCAGTATATGGAGGTACACTGCAAAAAAATACTAAACAAAAAAAAACTGATTTGAGCAGGTAAATAAAATAATTTGCTAATGGATTAAGGATTGACGTACTTCAAACAAGATCATTAGAAATTAAGCACTTGAAATAAGATGTTTTTTGTTGTTTTGTTTTGCTCTAAATTTAAATGTAAATCATCTTATTCCAGTGAAATAAAGTCTTGCTTAACTACTCAAAAAAAGGGATAAAACAAAACATTTCAAGAATAATGACTTATATTTCATTTTTTGCTTAGTAGATTCAGAACCATTATCTCTGTGCTATGGGGTCAGATAACAATCAAAAATACAACAAATGTCCAGTTTACATCTGTAAATGTAAATCAGTAATGTAAAAAGATTTGATATTTCTTTTTGTTCTTTGCCAGGTTACATTTTATTACCTCTGCCAAGGAGGTTATGTTTTTAGGAGAGTTTGTTTGTCTGTCTGACCGTGTCCAGGATAACTTGGAATACTTATGAACATATTTAAATGATATTTCTATCATTAAAGTTGTAGGGAAATCATATTTAATTGTCAAATCATTCTGGCTTAAACATGTATATAAATTTACTGTTTATCAGCCGATATAATCAACAAATTAGAAAAAATTCTATTTAGAAAAGAAATCCTCTCTTAAAATCAGTTTTTTCCCCCCGTTATCTTCTGCAGGCCAGTTAGTTCTACGTCAGCCTGCACACCTAAATTCAGCCAATCATATATCAACGGTCATCTGTCAATCAAATGTTTTCGGTCATAGCATCTTGATTCATATGTCGCAGCTAATATACGCAACGGTTGAAATCGGAATCCTTTCCTTTCCCATTGAGTTGCGTCCCAGTGTTCACGGGGATGGACGTATGTGTCTTCGGCAGGCGTAGAGCTAACAGAACTGGCAGCGTTGCGAGGCAAGGGCTCAAACATGTACGGCTGGAAGCCTTCTACACCAAACCAAGCTTCTGCCGCCCTGGCGTCCTCTTCCACAACATCTTCGTCCCCGCTTTCCTCCTCTAAATAAAAAATGGATGACGGAGGAGACTCATCCACGACCTCCGACACTAAACTCTCCTCCTCTTGCATGTTTCCGCTGTCCATAGCGTTCCTTGACAGCGTCGTTTCTAAGTCACCAATTTAGTGCTACTTGGTCCCAATGGAATTTCCCATTGGGAACCTGCTAGCACTAAGATGCTAACTGGTTAGCAAGATACTTCCCACAAACCGGCCACAACCAAACTTACTTGCGAACCTTCTGCCACAACAATCCCGCCTCCTTGATAAACGACCAATCAAATTCACTTTATTCACCCGTTTAAAGTCGGGCACCACTCAGGAGAATTTGGAAATGCAACGGTTGGAACGGCCGCTTCCCTACGACTTTAAAAATGCTAAAAATTATAAACATCCTCATGCCAATAAACAATCCATTACGTTTCGGTGATGATCCAGATGCAGGAATTGTTTACATTGTGAGATAGGGGTATTTAGCAGAACAAGAAGATCCCCACTTAACCAGAAGGTGGCAGCAGTGAGTATTCGCACCCTCAGAATTGGGCCGTTTCTCAATTCAGAAGAAAGCAAGTACGGACTCGTGTTCTCGCCAATTACGTTCTTGAGAAGAAGACAGGAAAGTATGGACTCTGGGAGAACGGGCAGCACGCAGAATTAATCTGGGTCAATTGGAACAGAAGCGTACTGATGACATCATCACACGACGCTAACGTTAGCCAGTCTGCAGCAGACAAAGCGCTAAGTTGGCAACACTGCTCTTTGCATGGTTTGTTTTCAAATGGTTTGCTGCTGTCTGTTTGGACCTTTCTGAACATGTGCAGCAAATGGACTGATCCAATATGGCGGACACTGAAGGGGGGGGGCTGAGACACACTTAATATTATCAGCGTTCTGATGGCATTTTAGAAAAAGGATTTTTATCTAAAACATAATTAATGAGCACAAATAAGGAATAGTTGTATTAACCATACATGGAAGCAGAGTTTTATGGGGCCCCCAGGAACTTGGGGCCCTAGGCAGCTGCCTAGTGAAGTGATTAGATTAGTTTCCTATTTGGTTTGATCCACATGTTCCTGATTGAATCCAACCATTGGTGACTCGTGGTGTCTCAGGTCCTTCTGTCGACGTCAGATGAAAACATGTTTTATCAGCAGTTTCTGTCCCTCAGAGCCAAACTTATCAGCAGGTCGGGTTGTATCAGGACACACTGCGTTCTCCACTTAAGATTATCAGCGGGTGAGACGACAGGACGGAACAAAGTCCGCCTGACATCGCAGCCCACAAACAATCAGACACGTTGAGGGTTATAATCACAGCAAAATAAACTTATCACGTCTTTTTTATCTGCTGAAGGTTTCAGGACTTTTCATTATTAGAGATGTGATGTTGCTGTTTGGGTATTTTTATGCACTAGATTTCTCTGATCATTATTAGAGTGCAGTTATTGTAATAATTGGATTAATTTATTAGCTTATTAGCTTATATTCCTTCAGCAGCTTCACTCTGCCTCTTTCTGCCTGCGCCTCCTGCTGGTTAGACCCAGCATTTGCAGGTTCATTAGAAAAATTAAAAATGAATTAAAAACATTTAATGTATTTTTGTTCTTTATACCAAAAAAAAAAAATAGAAATTCTAATATTATACAGATTTCTCTTACTTAGTTCAATATTTCAAGACTGTATTTTATTAATACAGTCTTTTATTAATTAATTTTATTAATTTTATTTTGGCTTACAGAAAAAGAAAAGACAAATATACGGTGCTCTGACAAAAAACAATTTAAGGTCAGATCGCCATAAGCTTCAAAAAACACCAAAAAGGAAGACGACTAAAGGGATACACGCCCACTGAGGTAGTTTAAAGTCTATTTTACTACAAAACTGAAGCGATAAACAGGTATTGACTATGAGTATGCTGGTCTGACAGAAAACCAGCCTTAGAAATATAAATTATTTAATAAGTTGAAGAATGATAATTGAAATGGAAACATGATTCTTTTGAGGATCCTGCTTCTTTCTTTGCAGTCAGAACTTGGTCTGGACTCCTTTAGCATGAATGAGTCGGACTCTACTGAGGCCCAATTAAAAGCTCCTCTGTCATCTAAACTGTTGGTTCTGGTTTCTCTCATCTGTTGGCTATGTGGGGAAACTCTGTTTCCATGTATGGTTAATACAACTATTCCTTATTTGTGCACATTAATTATGTTTTAGATAAAAATCCTTTGTCTAAAATGCCATCAGAACGCTGATAATATTAAGTGTGTCTCAGCCCCCCCCCTTCAGTGTCCACCATATTGGATCAGTCCATTTGCTGCACATGTTCAGAAAGGTCCAAACAGACAGCAGCAAACCATTTGAAAACAAACCATGCAAAGAGCAGTGTTGCCAACTTAGCGCTTTAGTCGCTATATTTAGCCACTTTTCAGACCCCTCTAGCACTTTGATTTCTGAAAAGCTCCTAGCGCCAAATCTAGAGACTTTTTTCTGCTACTGGAGACTTTGGAGACAACATCTAAAAGCAGCGAACTCTGCTCTCCAGAGCGAGTAGATTGGTAACCCCGCCTCCTGCTCTCCTCTATCTTGTCTGCTGTCATGATTCATGCAGCTATTATTTCATCCAAATGAAAAATGGAGAACAGATAAGCAGATCATGGCTTGTCTACAGTGAAAAGAAGGACTGGGTTATTTACTTTGGCCTTTTTGGAAACACAGGAAGGAGCAATCAGCTAAGTGAGCTTAGTGCTTGGAAAAAATCTTTCATTCCTTTAGAGACAGCATGAAAAGTCAGCTGAGTACAAAACATAGAGAGGAAAACAAGAAGAAAAGGGACAAGAAGAGAGGGACACAACCTAGAACAGATTTAACATTTTTCTATCTGTAGAATGGGGCTGTTTTATGGGGTGTCTTCTCCATTCAGAGGCCCCCTGCCTGTCTTTGCCTAGGGCCTCAAATTTCCTAAATCCGCCCCTGTCTGTGGGGTTCTGGTCAGGCCTGTTTGGTTCCTTCGGCAGTGGCTGGTACCAAGTCTTGATATAAAATCAGATTCTTTATAAAGTTTGAAAGCAGCAGGAAGCATTTGGGGCTCTGAGATGTTCTGGTAGGTGACTGTGGACCTCAGAAAACCCAGTGGACCGGAACCGACCACCACTGAACCAACTTCACTGTGACCTTAAAGCAAAATGGATTCTGGTTCTCCTCACTTCTCATTTCCAAATGAACTTTTACATCAATAAATGCTTGAAATGCTGAGCCACAGCCTGGTTCTGTTTCTCTTTAGTCCAGGTAAGACACTTGTAGCCCATGTTTAGGATCTAGGATGCTTAATGGTTCTGGTTGCTCTAACTCCACACTCAGCCCTATTATTGCTACCCCTCATGCTGATGTTCCTGATCCTCAAAGCAGTTTTTCCTTCCACTCAACTTTCCACGACTGCTGGTTAACGTTTTCACAGCATTCATATTATTTTATATATATACTGTATTCATATCATTGACAATACAACAAATAAAAGCCTGATCTGTTTCTCTCTATGAGTTCTATATCTATATTGGTTTTTCTTTCTAAAATAAGGGAGAAAATATTGAATGTTTCAATAAGACTTATATTATATGAGCTGCTTTTCTAAATTATTATTCATTATCAGAAAAATATAAAATATTATTAAAAAGATACATATGACAAGATTTTACTGGATTTATTTTTTTGTATCATCTTTTAAAGTGGATATAAAGAAATGAAGAGTGAAATAAAAGCTGATTGTCTGAAGCTGGGCTTTGTTTAAAGAAGAACACAGCAACAGAAAACATTTAAAGATGAATAATAATGAACACATCGAACACCTTTAACTGTAAGTGAAAAAAATCAGATTTGACCTTTAACTTAACAGTAAAATAACATTTTTGCCTGAAATGCTACAAACGACTTAAAAACTGTTTAAAAAACGGTTTAATGCAGAAAAATTGGTTATTTTTCGTCTTTTTATCGCTGTGTTGGCAGAAAAAACATCCAAAATACTGACTGGGTTTAATTTAACTCTAAATTAAAATGTCAGACATTTATAATAGAATGCACAAATTAAAATAAGTAAATGAACCTTAAAATAAGTGTATTTTCCTTTTACTGGAGCAGGTAGAGAAGTATGGAGGACCAACTCTGCCATATTTAAAAATAAATACAGAAATACTTTTTTAATTAGCTTCTTTATTTATTTGCCTTTGTAATATTTACCTTATTTATTTTTTTGTCCGTTATAATCTTCAACTTTATTTTTTAATTACTTATATTTTTAAGTATTTATTTATGTGCATGTTATAATATTTTTGTCTGTTTTATTCTTCCTTTGTATTTTTTTTACCTTAGTTATTTCTTCACCGCTATTTATTTCTGCTTAAAAACATAAGTAATTAAAAAATAAAGTTGAAGATTATAAAGGACAAAAAAATAAATAAGGTAAATATTACAAAGGCAAATAATTTAAAGAGTTATATACATTTATATCTCACAGTATAATTTAATTTCTACTTACATTTATTTGTTTATTTTGTTTTTGGTGGCAATTAATTGTATGCTTATATATTTATTGAGCATTTATTTATTTCTGTATTTATTTTTAAATATGGCAGAGTTGGTCCTCCATAGCAAAGAGATGCTTTATGTTTAAAATAAAAAGAACTCGACTCTAGTGCCTTATTTCATTGCATATGATCTAATAATCTTATTTTAAGATGCTGTACTTAATAAGTTTAATTGGTATTAGTAAATTTGTGATTCCTTCTCGTGTTTTTGAAGAATTGTAACTTGTATTAATTAATAACTTCTAAACTTTTATTCCCACAGATGAAATATCTGCTGAAAAATAGAAATATTCAATTTATTTACATTATCATCCTACATTTAAGAATTTGCATACTTTTTAATTTTTTTTATGGACAGATATTTTACCACAAACCTTTGCTTATTTTGGGTTAAATTCTACAGTTTTTAAAAAAGCCGACATCTCCAAGAACCGTGTCTCCTCCAGAAAGAAGGGCCTATTATCTCCTTTAACAGACATTATTGGTGTTTTATTAGTATAAAGTATTAAATATGAAGAGAAAATTACTGAAATTAGGCTGATTTGTTTATGGTTATGATGTGAGATTAGGAGGAAAACAAGGTGAAAATGTTCAGTTCTGCTGTAGGAGAATCACAAACAGGCCTCTGAACGTCGCATCGTGTCCCTCTGCTGATTATTAATCTGCAGACTCCCACAGATACACACACATTCCTTCACTGTGTCCTATTTAACAATATCAGCTCCTTTCTATTATCAACGCTAAAACATGATGCCCCTGAAGATGTACATCCTGATGTCCCGCCTTTGCGTTACGCAGTGACAGCACTGAGCTCAGCATCTCCTCCGTTCATCTCTGCTGCCTATAAATAGTGAGGAGGACACTTCCAGCCTCCATCAGCCAGCTGACTGACCAACAGGTAGGACTCCTGCTCCTCTACAGCACCTTCTCTGCAACAACCTGGTCTGAAAGAGCAAACTCTAGCTTCTTTGAAAGCTGCCATGAAGGTCCTCGTCGTCCTCTTCCTCATCTTCCTCACAGGTTTGAGAATATTGATGTTTTAGTTAAAAGAAAAAAAAACATTAGAAAGGAAAAAAATGTCTTAAACTTATTTTTTCTGCAGGTTGTGATGCTGGGTGGTTTGACTCTCCAGCCAAACAATCTCCAGCCAAACATTCTCCACCCAAACATTCTCCACCCAAACATTCTCCACCCAAATGCAAGGAGGACTTGGCCAAAGATTGTTTCTGGAGTTACGTTAAGGATTGCACGCACACCTCAGAAGAGAGTTTGAAGGAAATCAAATGTTCACTTCCAGGACAGTATGTGAGGTAAGATCAAACTCCAGAGCTTTAACCCTTTATAAGGCAAGTTAGCGTTTTTTATCACTTGCATCCCCCTTACAAATGGAGTCCCCCCCCATCCCTCAGTGAGGTCTACACTGGCAAAAATCTTTTTTTTTGCCAGTGTAGACCTTTTTTCTTAAAATAAGTGCATTTATTCTTGAATTGAGGAGGTAAAAGAGACATTTTGCCAATGGAACAAGACAATTTACACTTAAAATAAGAAAACACAATTGCATTGTCTTATTTCAAATGCATATTATCTAGTTATCTTATTTTAAGAGTAAAAATACTCATTCCAATGGCAAACTATCTCATTTACCTGCTCAAATTAAGGATAAATACACTTAATTTTAAATACACGTTTTTCCAGTGTAGAAGCACAAGATCTATATCAGCCAGTCAGCATAGATCCTGCTACATGGCTGAACATCTTATTTTGGCATTTCACCAATTAGATGAGCCCTTGAATTATATATTACCTACTGGAAGTTAAGTTGAAAAAAAAAAATTCAAGACAAAAAGGTATAAAACTGATTGAAAAGTAAAAAAAATAAGCCTAGTTAACAATTATATTTAGGTTTATAAACTAAAAAATGTAATAGTATCAGCTTTAATGCCTCTAAGTGTCCTATAAAGGGTTAAAAACTGATTAAGGATCCGTCCATGCATCTCCAGAGACGATGAACGTTTTTTATTTACTAAATAACAGGAAAGACACAAAACCCAGGATCCTGTTTTTATAACATCTTCGGTTTTTACAGCCGTTTGGTTTCAATGCTGCAAAAAATGTAAATCAGTCAGTTTTTCTTAAAATGAGTTGCCAATGGAATAAGACAATTTACATTTAAAATAATAAAAAAAAAACACTGAAGTCTCTTATTTCAAGTGCAGTATGTCTGATAATCTTTTTTTAATGGGAAAAATGCTCATTCCATTGGCAGATCATTTGATTTTCCTACTCAAATTTAGGCTATAAAAACTCATTGTAAGACATTTTACTCCTTTTCAGAATCTTTTTGCAGCTTATGCTGCAAAAAATGAATCTAAAAATAAGTAAAATCTTCTTGAAATAAGAGTATTTGTCCTTCATTTAAATAGGTAAATAAGATAATTGGTCTAAGAATAAGACAATTTGCATTAGAATTAAGACTAAACACTGCAAAAACTTTTAAACCTAAATAAGCCATTTTATTGCATATGGGAATTTGTTCTTGAATCGATGAGGTAAGTGAGACACTTTGGCAACGGAACAAGACAATTTACATTTAAATTAAGAAAAAAACTATTATATTGTCTGATTTTGAGTGCATATTATCTAATTATCTAATTTTAAGAGTAAAAATACTCACATTAAGAGTAAATACCCTTAAATTAAGAAATTTTTTATTTATTTTTGGATCATTTTTGCAGTGTAGAGTTTTGTTTTTCTTATCTTGTACATAAACCATCTAATTCCATTGGCAAACTGTCTTTCTTACCTGCTTTTCAAAGCAGCTCAGGTGTCTTGATAAAAAAAGTAAAACTATTTAAGTCAGTCTGATTATAATTTTTGTTCTTTATTTTGTTCCCAATTCCTCACATTTAAATGTGATAATAAGGGAGTTACTCAGAGGAGCTCCAGTTTTATAAATAAAAAGAAACTGAAGCACATTTTTTTTTAGAAATCATGCAAATTGAAACGGTTTTCTAAACAAAAACCAGGCTTTGTTGGGCTACTGCATAAAGCCTTAAACTCAATGCTATTTCTGACATTTTGAACTGAAAAAGCTTCCTGTATGGGAAGTGAAACGTCTTCAAATTTTGCTTTTTATAATTACTAATGCAAACTGACCTCAAAGTTCTTTATGTTTGAAAAAAAACAAAATTTGTTTTGTTTCTGTCTCCTGCAGCAAACTCATCTCACAGAGCATCGAGATCCTCCACAAATTCTTCCAGCTGGTTTACGCTCATATAGTCTACTGGTGCAACGAGCTCTTCCATAGGTTCTGCCACGAGGTGGACCACTTTCAGCACCGCGTGGAGTATTATCTGCACCTGCTGAGTGACGAAACCGACCACCACACCAAGGAGCTGGCAGAACGAATCCGCTGCATGTTGGATGATCTCAAGAAGTCCGTAGCCGAATACATTAAAGTCTTAGACTACAAAGGCCTGAAGGTCGACCTGGACAAGAAGTACAAGAATCTGTGTGATGAAGTGCAAACGTGCTTTAAACACCATCGCTGTGAAGACCGCCGTGGGCACAAAAAGGAATGTGACATCAAGAAGAAAGTGGAAAAAGACCTGGAAGACTTTAAAATCACCTTGCGCTTCCTCTGCTATACCTTCGAGATCAAACTCATGGAGACGTCCAAACAGATCAATAAGAAAGTCACACATCCTGAAAAGAAGCACTGTCACAAGCTGGATAAAAACTCACCTGCCCTGAGTGGTGAGCTGAAGACCTTATGGGAACAATGGAAACACTTCAACTGAACGCCTCCCAAAGGCGGGTCCAGCTTAATAGCTCCATCTCTTCAACAATTAGTTTCAATACTAAATATTTCATGATTATTATTTTTTTTCCAAGTTGTTGAAGTGTCAGAGAAATGTCTGGTATTTATTACTCAAAATACAACTCTGGAAAACAGAAACTCTCTTGTTGTCTTTATTTAAAACTTACCGTATTTTCCGGACTATAGAGGCACCTCGCTCTAAGCCGTGCCCACTAAGTATTTTGAAAAAACTTGAAAACTACATATATAAGCTGCACCATGATTCTATTCAGTTTATTTCTATAGCTCCAATTCACATCATGTCATCTCAGGTCACTTTCCAGTTCACCAGATCATCTAGTCAGATTGATTCAGAGTTTTCTATCTAAGGAAAACCAGCTGATTGCATCGACTCATTGACTCTTCAGCAATCCCTCACACTAAGCATGCTTGTAGCGACAGTGGAGAGGAAAAACTCCCTTTGAACAGGAAGAAACCTCCAGCAGAACCAGGCTCAGTGTGAGTGCACTGGAAAAAAAAATCTAGAAATAAGTAAAAATTAATTGATTAAATTTAGTGTATTTACTCTTAATTTGAGTATTTTTAATCTTAAAATAAGATAATTAAATAATATAGACTTGCCGTAAGACAATGCAATTGTTTTTCTCTTATTTTAAATGTAAATCGTTTTGTTCCATTGGCAAAGTGTCTCACTTTCCTCCTCAATTCAAGAAAAAATGCATTTATTTTAAGAAAAAATTAGTCCTTTAAATGTACATTTTTTGCAGTGCAGCCATCTGCCACTGATATCTGCCAAACTGTCCCCCACCAAACCAGTAGGGGGAGCTCTACATATGACTCAGTAGGGACGAAGAATAATGCTAGCTCCTGTTAGCTTGTTAGCTCGCAGCAGTAAAAGCTTCTACTGACAGATGGGGCGTCATTGGCTCCTTATTTCAGCTCTGCAGTTGTTGAGCGAATTCTCTTTATTGGTTCGGTCACTTTAATGTAGCAAATAAACGTCAAAATATTTGAATTCGGGACATTTGTTCTCCGTCGTGCCTGCTGCTAGCATGTTCTTGAGCTAAATGAAAATGAGTCATTATGGTACTAAAATTATTATTTTTATCCATAACTCACTAATGGATGCTAATGCACACCTTTAAAAATGTTTTACGACTTTTCTGAGACAATTTTGATGCTTTTTATATTTTCTCCGTTAAACTGCTTCTTTGACATAATCATGCTCAGAGCAGTCCGACAAAATACGATTAAACCACGTTTATCTGCATTTTAGTTGTTTCTTTCTTTAGGTTGCGCACTATCTACAATAATGTTAACACAAAAGGAAAAAATGAAACTAAAAAATACTAGATTTATGTTTAAATCCTAAGCCAAAAAAGTTAGCTTCTGGGAGTAGCGTAGAATTCCATTTCTAGCTCAGATTAGGAACAGACGAGGGATAAATCAGAAAAGATTTGAATGCATTTATTTTCTCCTTGGTTCAAAGTGTGGGGAAAAAAGTAGGGGCTTATAGTCTGGAAAATACGGTACTCAAAAAGCCGCAGCTGACTCAACTCTGCTTCTTCCTTTTCTAGAAAATCTTCATGTTTGGAAATCGTCAGATTTTACCAAATAATGCTAACATCGCAGCCTGATGGAAAAAAACCCACAAAGTTTAAGAAAATAAATTTACCAAAACAGCCTTATTCCCAAATATCCCCATTGTTATTTTTTTATAACTGGTCAGTCACATGTTAATCATGTTTTAAAACATGTCTGATCCACATGATGCGGATTTATTTTGAAGGCTGATAATAAAAAAGAACATTTAATGAATTATCCTTTCTTTCATTGCCTGTCCTCAGCTTTTATTTTATTTTTTTTATTTCAAAATTAAAGGCTCCCCTTTCTAAAGCAATTATGTAGATATGAAAGCTAACATAGAAAACTTATCTACAATCATTACTATTATTATTATTATTATTATTATTATTATAATTATTATTATTATTTTCAATGATCAGTAATAGTAATTTCAGAGCACCTTCCAATCCATTATTCATACATTATAAAATATAAAAACAATGTACGATTTAATTGATTTGAAAGAGTTACAAATAATGAATAAAGAAAAAGTCTTTGAATAGTACGCAGTTATAATTTGAAAATAGAGGTTTAAAAAAACCCAAAAAAACAAGATCCAGAACCAAATTAAAAGAGCGAAATATCTCAGTAAATGCAGAAAAAAAAGAACAATGTTAATAAAGAATGAAAAAATCAAGGTCACTTAAATAATTAGAAAATGTATTGTGGAAGCTCATTGGTAGAATTCTCTTATGACAGAAAGAAGGCCTCAATTCACACCATCGTCATCCGGAGGGGGGAACATTTATTTACAAAACCGAATTCATACAGCTGTCTAAAACACTTCATACAATCAGCTCCCTGTCCTCACATCTGTAATTTCCCCCACCTTCAATCCATTGTGGGCGACATTTATAGTTTCCACATCGCACTGTGTGGATGCACATGCACGACTGGACGCTCTTCCTGGAAATCTCTTAGCTCATGACCTGATTGCGTGCGAGTCAGCCAGTAAGAACCCTGTTTTTGCCGAGATTCGTACGTGACTCCCAGCTTGTAGACTCCCTGTTTACATGTTGCATCCTCTGTGTTGCTAAGTGAGCATAAGGTCAGAAACAGGACTACATAACGCAGTACAACTGCTTCCATATTTGGCAAGCCAGCCAGATATTTATATTCTACAGCATTAGAGACTTTATTATTGCTAAGACTCATACTTGAACTTCAACATGTACTGTTTTGTTGCTAAGTAAGTGTAGGGCCATGTTGTAGGATACATTCTGATTCTGATTTCTTATTCTGATATGATATAAGACAATAAAACTGCTACTACAGTATTACTTTAAGTGTTTTATGTAAGTATGAAACTATAAAATAACGTAGTGGTTCGTGAAAATGTTTAATCTAATCCTATTTAGGTCAGATGAAGTTACTGCATTGAAAAAATGATAAATTATGTTATTTATTTATTATTGTTTTGTAAAAAGGGACGGAAAAAATGAGAATTATTCTTTTCTTTGCTCCTTTCCATTTAAACTGTACTGCTTTTTATTAATGTATGTTTTTTGTTATTTTAAATGAATGAAATAAACAATAAATAAAACAAATAAATGATTTTTTTTATTTATTGTTATTTTTTTGATTTTTTTTGTATTTTATTTTTTTTTTATATATATTTTTTAATATAAGTCTTTTCTTGTAACTGTACACTATTATCTGTCTATTAATCTTCTTATTTTTTATTTAAACAATGAACATTCAATATTCAGTTTTTTTTACTGGAAAACATTTTTTTTTACCACCTTTCCATATTTAAAACACGTTTTTCACCCTGTACATTATTTTCTATTGTTTTAGTTAACTTTTTATTTTTAAATGCTTATTTTTTTAAATCTAATATATCACAGTAGCATTTTTTCAGCAAATAGATTTCTCTAAAGCCATTTATTTATGCCCCCCCCTCCCGTATTTCCTCTGTGTACAGCTGTATATGTTAAAACAGGGGGCGGGCTTTGGAACAGCATCAACGCTTGCAGCTTCTCTCCTATTGGCCGAGATCTGTCTGGCCCATGTCACGACCCGAACCGTACTAAAAGCTCAATTTGTGCATGAGCAAGCAGATATTCAACCATGTACATAATGTAATTATTTCACTAAAATCCTTTCACTTATCCTTAAGCCACTAAAGAATGCGAACACACATCTTAAAATAGTTTTTATGACTAAGACAATTTGATGCTTTTTTATTTTTCTCCGTTAAACTAGGGTGACCAGACGTCCTTTTTTATCCCGGTGTAGGTACCAGATTGACTCGGGGGCCTGCGCCTTTTGATGACGTCATGAGCGTCCGCCATCTTAAATGTGGCAAATCTGCAGTTTCTCAGTCACTTTAACAGTATCAGAGGGACTTTAATCTCTGAATATACTTTGTATTTGTAGTATTTTTGTTTTTGTAATACAGGTGCTGGTCATAAAATTAGAATATCATGAAAAAGTAGATTGATTTCAGTAATTCCATTTAAAAAGTGAAACTTGTATATTATATTCATACATTACATACAAACTCATATATTTCAGATGTTTATTTTGTTTAACTTTGATAATTACAGATGACAACAAATGAAAATCTCAAATTCATCATATCAGAAAATTAGAATATTACTGAAGACCAATAAAAACAAAGGATTTATAGAAATGTTGGCCAACTGAAAAGTATGAATATGAAAAGTATGAGCATGTACAGCACTCAGTATTTAGTTGGGCCTCCTTTGGCCTGTATTACTGCAGCAATGCGGCGTGGCATGGAGTCGATCAGTCTGTGGCACTGCTCAGGTGTTATGATAGCCCAGGTTGCTCTAATAGTGGCTTTTAGCTCTTCTGAATTGTTGGGTCTGGTGTATTGCATCTTCTTCTTCACAATACCCCATAGATTTTCTATGGGGTTAAGGTCAGGAGAGTTTGCTGGCCAATTAAGAACAGGGATACCATGGTCCTTCAACCAGGTACTGGTAGCTTTGGCACTGTGTGCAGGTGCCAAGTCCTGTTGGAAAATGAAATCTGCATCTCCAAAAAGTTGGTCAGCTGCAGGAAGCATGAAGTGCTCTAAAACTTCCTGGTATGTGGCTGCGTTGACCCTGGACCTCAGAAAACACAATGGACCAACACCAGCAGATGACATGGCACCCCAAACCATCACTGACTGTGGAAACTTTACACTGGACTTCAAGCAACGTGGATGAAGTGCCTCTCTTCTTTTCCTCCAGACTCTGGGACCTTGATTTCCAAAGGAAATGCAAAATTTACTTTCATCAGAGAACATGACTTTGGACCACTCACCAGCAGTCCAGTCCTGTTTCTCTTTAGCCCAGGCAAGACGCTTCTGACGCTGTCTGTGGTTCAAGAGTGGCTTGACACAA